CCGAGCCAGAAGCTGATGCGCCTGGTTCAGAGCAAGTTGCCGACGAGGTGACGGTCGATGCAACGACTGCCCAAGCGGCAGTTGACGAGCAAGTTGCCGAAGCGAACCCTGTTGAGGCAGCTGCCGTGGATGACCTCGAGGCCGCGAAGGATGTGACTGCCGCCGAGGCAGCGGATGAGCATACATCTTTAGATCATGCCGTGCCCGAAGTAGCTACCGCTGAAGATCAGCCAGTCGCCGAGTCTGAGGAGCCTGCAGTTCAAGACACCACAACTGTTCACGATGAAGCTACAATTGAAGAAGACAGCGAGATCGCCCGCGCCTCTCTGGAAGACGAGCCTCTCAAGGACAATGCCACAGCCGAGGAGGAGATACCTGCTGAGGAGCCAAGCACCGAAGCACCGGCCACTGCGGACGTCGAGGTCCAGGACGCCAGCGAGGATCATGCTGTAGAAACCGCCCCAGTCACGGATGCAGATACAGTGGCAGCCAAGGAAATCGACGAACCTGCGGTATCCCCCACAGATGACGCTGTTGAAGCTCAGCCCGGCCCTGAAGAGATACAAGCCGAAGTCAGTGAAGCACCCCCGACAACCCAAGAGGAGGAAGAGCCCGAGCCAACCACTGCCAGCAAAGATCTTGACGATGGAGCTTCCGAACACCGGGACGCTTCAGATCCGCCAGAAGAACAACTCACTGGTGGTGTCGTTGACGCAGCTGAGGATGATTCCACTGCTGGACCTTCTGACGCCACCGCCGACGCCCCTGCCGACTCTGACTTGACGGAGGCTGTTGCTGCTGATGAAGTTGCGGCGCAAGCTGCTGACTCCGAGCGTCACGTCGAGGATGAAGAGGCTGAGGTTGACTCGACTCCAGCTGAGCATGGTTCAGTGGAAGACACTCCTGCAGCCCCTGATGCCTCTACAGATGAGTCTGTCGCTATCGAGGCGCATGACTCTGTTGTTGCCGATGCCCACGACGATACCGAAGAATCTCAACCCTCAGCTGTCGATGCTGACAAGGTAGAGTCCGAACACGCAGAGGCTGCTCTGCCGTCGGCGGAGGAGACAGCCTCCAAAGCAGATAGCCCCGAACCTTTGGAACAAGAGGCAACGGCGACGGCAGACGACGTAGCACCCACTGCAGACGTATCTGGTCAGCATGACTCTGTGGATGAGACCCCAGCCATTTCAGGCGATCTCAAACAAGCTGAACAAGACAAGGATCTTGAGGACTCACAGGTCGTCGACAGCCACACAGATGCCGCTTCAGAGACAGTCCGCGGAGATGAAGGTGAAGTAGACGTTCACGAGCGTAGCGTCTCTCCCGAGGAGCCCGAATCACCGCCGGCCGAAGTCCATGATGTCAGTCAATCCGGAGACCACCGTGGGCACAACGACGACGACCACGATGCTGATGCGGCCATGAAGGCCTCACCTGGTCACGAAGTTGACGTGGAAAATGATACCACTCAGCATGACTCCGATCATGGCGAATTCGAAATTGTCGAGACGCCTCACGATGAGGCTGGCCCCGATGAGGCTGATCAGTCTCGTGGGCCCGACCTTTCCGTGATCACTGAATACACTGAGCCTGCTGCATCCGCAGCCGGCGACACCTCTGTTTTAGCTGCAAAGACCGACGAAGATGTCCATCCCGAGTCTCTCAGCCGGAATGTCTCTGAAGCCCCGGACGCAGTTATTGAGAGTTCGTATATGACTGAGCCCACGGGCATAGTTACGGACGATAGCCACGTTCAAGATCAACAGCAAGAGAGCTCTACGCCTGGTGCTACGTTCTATGACGGCCACTTTGGAGTCAGACAGGTTCACTTCAACGAAGAGGAAGATGACGACGACTCTTCTCCAGTTCTCAGTGTCAGAGACGAGGATAGCGATGTCGGTGAGCCTGCAGAGACCTCTTACAACCCGTTCACCAGGGCCAGAGCCGGTTCCATAGCCCACGCGCAGCCGACGTTCCATTCGCAAGACATACCGTACAATCCTTTTGCATTGCAGACAGTCGTCGAAGAAGAGCCGCCTCGAGAGACGACCAATCCGTTCGCGAGAAGCCCAAGCAGAGGGCCTCAAGAGGACTCGACAAACCCGTTCGCACGCAACACGCCCGCCAGTGGTGCAGATTTCCTTCGGTCCGCGAGCGCTCTAAGCAACCATCAGCCTTCTTCTCCCGAAGAGACATTCGCTCGGTCTCCTAGTGCTCAAGGACTCCGCCGTGATAGCGTGAGCTCCAACAACCCATTCGCTAGAAGCACGACTCCAGTCGATCGAAGCTTTTCACCAGCCCTGAGCACGCCTGGGCGACAACGCGCACCCAGCAACCCATTCGCTCGGAGCACAACACCGCAGCAGAGCTATCCACTGGCAGAAGACAGCGACTCTGAGGATGAGGAGGCCATGATGGCGGCAGAGTCCACGTACAAGAACCTCTTCCCTGTCAATCAATCACCCGAAGTTGCCAATGACGGCTTCGCCTCCGCCGCCCAGTCGATCGAGCGCCGTCAGCCCACGCCGCAGGTCCCCGAGTCAATGTACAACAATCCCTTCGCCCGAAGCACTGCGTCTGACCAGAGCTTCCTGCCCACCGCGAGCACGTTGGGACAAGCTCAGTCTGATGTGTCTTACAACCCATTCGGGGCCAGGAGTAGCACTGTCGGTGGTGACGTTGACGAGTCCATGTTCGACCAAGGCTATCCTTCCGCCGCTGGAGGGCACGACGTCATGGGTGAAGGGATAATTGATCCTTCCCGGCAGTTTGTCCAAGAGAACAGCCCTTTGTCGGCCAGGCACCTTGCTCCAGCCACTCTGGATAGCATCCAAGAGCGATACAACAGTGAACTAGAGGATATGGATTCCGACTCTGAGGAACCAGAGAGTCTGACCACCTCCCAGCAGTTGCCAACTTCGCAACAGCGAGCCCCTCCTCCTCTGCCAAGCATCGCAGAGCGTTCCCGTCAAGGGCTCGACGACTCTTCTGAAGAAGAGGAGGACTGGGATGCTCGTGCTCCTCAGCCCAGCCAGATCAATACCTTGTTGACATCTTCCCCGTACAGATCAAGTCCCCCTCCCCCTCCCCCTCCGCGTGTCTCTAGCTCACAGGGCCACTATGCGCAAGACGTTGAAGACTCATCTGAGGACGACGGCGACATCTTCCACGCGCAATCTCCAGCACGGCTGAATCCCCTCTCATCATCGCAATACGGGGCAACCCCGCTACCTCCTCCACCACCACGCGCGCCAAGTTCACAGGGTCACTACGGTCAGCAACAACTAGAAGATTCATCTGAAGAGGAGCAAGCCGACTGGGACGACGCCTTCGAGCCCGTGCAGCCCAGCACATTCCCGACCTCGCAGTTCGGATCTACTCCCCCGCGTCCACCTCCGATTCCACCACCCCGTGCCCCCAGTTCCCTGTCACAGAGCCGCTACAACATTGAAGACTCAGACGAGGAAGATCAAGGTGTTTTGCCCCCTGCCACTGTCCAGCCCAATCTTCTGCCCAGTGCGCTCTCACCATCTGGTTATCGGGCGACTCCGCCGCCGCCACCACCGCCGCGTGTCCCCAGCTCTCAAGGCTTCTATCATCAAGAGCAAGCGGACTCAAGTGAGGACGAACACCCCTTTAGCCACGACATTGCTCGACCTGGTCAGTTCCCCATTTCATCATCATCTCAGTTTAGGGCTACACCGCCCCCGCCCCCGCCTCCGCGGGTATCAAGCTCTCAGGGTCAATACCGCCAGGAGATTGAGGATTCCAGTGACGAACAGGACGAGGATGCTTGGGATTCGAATGCCGCTCGGCCCGGTCAGATGCCAAATCTATCGACGTCGCAGTTCAGGGCGACCCCGCCGCCGCCTCCGCCTCCGCGCACATCCAGCGCACTGGGTCGTTACCGTCAAGAACTCGAGGACTCCGACAGCGAGGAGAATGAGGAGGCATGGGAAGCTAATCGATATGGCCAGACAACGAGCATGATGGGAGCAAGCAACCTGATGGGGACCAACCAGATGGGAGTCGACCCGACGAGATCAGCAAGCCCGCTGGGCGCGAGTCCGATGAGAGCCGCCAGCCCACTGCAAGCGACGAGCCCGTTGGCGGCGACCAACCCGACGAGGGCTTCCAGTCCCTTGGCCTCAACAAGTCCGTTGAGGGGAGCCAGCCCGATGGCGCAGAGCAACTCGATGGAGTCAGCCTTCAGGGACTCGGTACCGGCAACAAGCAGTCAGGGCCTACAAAGTCATCAAAGAGAAGAAGGAGGGGAAGAAAGCGATGATTCATGGGAGAACATTGGGAAGCGTGGCGGTGATGAGGTCAGTCCAGTCGACGAGAGGTTCAGCACCGCCATGCCGACACCACAGCTGCGCGTCGACAGCTACGAGCAGCAGTGGCCGAACGCAAGCAACGACCAGATATCCACGGCGTCGACATATCTACAGCCAGCAGGACCAGGTGACTTTACGGATTCTGACTCACAAGAGTACGCCACTCCGTTGGCATCGGCCGGGTTCAGCGCGTCTTCGCAGTATACGCAAGGGGCCATGGGCTCGCCCCGTCACCCGGATTCAATCGGCAACAAGGACATCTACGACCAGACTTACAACCGAGGAGGAGCAATGTCTCCGTATGCTCAAACTCACGAGACTTCGCTCGCCGACGAGCTCGCTCAGGATGATGACTCGGACGATGATAGCGAATATGACCACTCGGAAGCCCCAGCATTCCTCACCCAGATTGGCACTGCGCAGCAACTGCAGCAGCAGCAACAACGATCATCAGACGAGCCTGTCTTAACGCAAGTCATCGACTCGTTCGACAGCGATGAAGATGATGGCCCAAAGACTGCGGTCATGCAGCCGGCTGAGCACCCCACACAATATGCCTCTTCCCGCTTCGGAGCTTCGACTTGGCGGGATGAGCTTCGCTCGCCCACCATGTTCGGTGCTACAAGGCACAGCCGCTCTGGGTCTCTGTTGAGGGAGGAGATGCAGAAATCACTCCACCAAGAAGCCACTGCTGGCTACTCTTCTCCTCTGCGGTCCGCTTACGAGCCTGATACCCAGGTCGAAGGTTCTTATGTCGGACAGCAAGCTCAAATGCATGGCCAGGACGTCTATGGACAACAATCAGCCGAGTATCACGCGCAAGACGCCCTGGCCCAGCAGCAATACAGTCAAGCTCAGTTTGGCCAAGACCAATTCGAGGCCCAGCCCTATGGACAAGCACAACTCCAGCCACAATACGGACAAACAGCTTCGTGGCAGCCCGAGGTGCAGGTCTCCGAGGTACAGGCGGAAGAGGAACATGAGCAGACAACTCCGCAGTTGGCACCACAGCAAAGTGAGCAAGCACCGGACATCAGCCCCTTAGCGTTGCGTCAGGAGGAGTCACCGGCGACGCCCTCGGCGTCGTCGCAGGGGACACCCTCTCGTGGACTCGCGTTCAGCAGGCACAATCCTGACCGACCGCAGACACCGCCCACTATGCAGGCCGAAGAGGATTTTGATCCCGAGCTCATGGTCCCACGCGATGTGACCAATGTGCCATGGCACGCTCGCAACGACTCGGTCCCTCACTCGATGCGAAGCCAGAGTACCCTCGACTCCGTTGCGTCGTCACCGATTCATTCGGCGTTGCACGCTGACAAGCACGAGCCGGTCATTCGGGACTCGTGGCCGGCTTCCGTTCATCACTTGACGAGACCGCGCAACGACTCTTCTCTCACCGACCGCGAGGAATATGATCCTTTCAGAGATAGTGAGGAGGCGGCAAAGGCAGCTCGTGGGCCATCCGGCTCCGTAGGCTCCAGTTCAGACAGCCCTCCGCGGAATGCGGCGGCCACGAACAACAACTCACCTGGAAGTTTGATCAGCAGAATGCGCGGCATCTTTGAGAACAACCAAGCCAAGCAAGAGCCGGCCAGCCCAGTCCGATCACGGCCGGTGTCGGGTGTTTTTCACCCCGTCCGGCGCAGCAAGCCCGGCGGCGACGACGTCGAGGACCGCGGATACGATCGCAAAGCAGGGTTTCTCAACGAAGCCGAAGACGAGGTTGACGAGCAGAGCGCACTCCTACGAAGCTCTGCTGGCGGGTTGGAGGCAAATTGACCACGCTCGGGCGGAGCGGGGCTCAGAGTCGTGAGAGTGAAGCGGGACGCCGAGTACGATGAGTGGGAAGAGGACGTGTACATGGAAGAGCCGGGGGACCGGCATCGTCCGAAGCGACGCAAGTACCGCAGAGACCCGAGCGGGTTGCGAGTGCCGGTCCCTTGGAACCCGGAAGAGAAGGAAAGCGGCGGCGGACCTGTGGAGCCCTCTGGCGAGAGCGTGTTTCGTCTGGCGTGGTTGTTTGTAGAGGGGTGGAGGCAGAAGCTCCGGAAGGCCGGGGATATGGTTGAGAAGACGCGGTGGGAGTGGGAGCTTGACGGGACTGCTACTGTCTGTACGCATAGTCGCGCGTCGAGCTTGACGTTTGGTATGGTGATTGCGGACGCTCGTTTGCGCGTGCCGGAGGAGTTGGGCAAGAAGAAGAAGCAGAGAAAGTCGGTGCATTGGGCGTAGGACACACACACACGATGGGAACATGATATTACGACTAATGGGTTACGGATATGGTTATGGACATGGCTTACGGGTATAGAGGATAATGAAATAATGATTTGACGTTTTGGACCATTCATCAGTAGACTGTTGAAGAACATGACACTATCGTGCGACTTATGTTCTCTTGCTAACTCTACAACACAACATGGCTTCTCTAAAGTGAGTAGGAAACGCGATTGCACTAGGTTCAAGGACGCGACCAGGATGAACAAACGCCCTAACCGTTCCCGTAAAAGTCTTTGCCAAGGTCGCAACCGGCAGTTCAAAGTTGTCCTCGGACAATCTTAAACCCCCGCATTCTGCAGAACAAAATCAACAATGAGGGACCTAGAGCGCATGAACACTGTGTGTGTAACTAAACAAACACAAGTGGCCAGCTCCGTTGACCCCGATTCTTCTCACATGCCACCTGCAATATTACCTAAGCCACATCCTCGGTCGACTGACTAGCACAAGCATGCTCTTTACTTACAGATGTTGAGCTGCTGTTGACCTCCCACCCATCAAGAGCCTTCGTCCCCCACAGATCCACAGATGCTTACTATCTCAGACAAGTAACTGGTTCCATTGAGAATGGGGGAAACCTAACCTTGATGAACTAGCATGCATGAAGGCCAAAGGGCAAAAGGCAGTCTCACCTGATGATAACGATAACGTTTCTCACTCTACACCTTTAACTCCAGCGAAGGCCGCAAGCAAGGTACACAACATGTCTCTGCAGCACAATGACTCTCCTGTCGTGGCCGCCACAACGGGTTCCTCCCCTCCCTCTGCAGCGGCAGTCCGAACCTTCAAGCGTGCCGCCGTAGCATGCAAGGCTTGCAACCTGCGCAAGGTGAGATGCACAGTCACCTTATCTGGCCCTCCCTGCGCCAACTGCTCTGTGGACGGGATTACATGCGAGGTCCTTAGTCGTAAACGACGTCGGTGAGTCTTCTGGTCACCGGTCTCTATGGTTAGCTGCTATAGAGGCCAAGTCAGTGAGTGAAGGTATCCTGACGAGGCAGCAACTCGGATCAACTCCCAATGAACCCGACCCCCGGAGGAGGCGGGGAGAACACATTGATCATCATCCCACAAAGAGCGCAACCCAGAAGACGGCTCGTGGAACCCCAGACCCCGGGGCCATCGTCGGGTACCCTAGAGAACGAGGAGGCCGTCGAGTCGAGGGACGACCGGTTCACATCCGCGCCGCCCGAAGATCACCGGCGCACCACACCCCAAGTCAACGGTGGCCCGAGGTCGTCCACGTCCCCACGCGCAGCCGAGACACGATCGGTTGGTGGTGGGCCATCCGCGCCAACCACTCGGCCTTACGATGCCGTGCGTGCTCTGCTTCCTGCCAAAGGTCACCGGCCACCGGACCTATCCGATGCCACTGAGGACAGCTCCGCGTATGCAGAGACGTTGGAAGGTGGTAAGAATCGCGAGGATGGGTGCGTCCCGTTCTACCCAGGTAAGCTGCCCTCTGTCTTGATACGTTGATGCATCAAGCATAGCTCTGAGCTGGGTTTCTCTTGACATTCATTCATCTAGGAGATCAACGCGGCCCTGCCTTTTTGATCGACATCTGTGAACCTAATAGGTCATCCAAAGACAACCATTTCCTAGTGCCGATGCCATCCATCAAGGCCCTTTCGCCCGAAGATGTCAATTATCTTAGGATGAAAGGCGCATTCACGCTTCATCCGCCTCATATTCGCGAGGCGATGATCCGATGCTACTTTCACTATGTGCACCCATTTGCGCCAATCCTGGATGCCAGCGAGTTCATCACCGAGTATGAAAAGGGAAGAAAAAGCCTGTTGCTGCTCTGGAGCATGTTCATCGCGGCCGCGAGTGTAAGTCATCGACACAAACCTATCATTCATTACTAGGCGTGGCTGACATTCACCACAGTTTGTCGACGAAAGTCTCCTAACGGAAGATTTCTTCCCCTCGAGAAAGGCGCTGAAACGAGCCATGTACCAGAGAGCTAAAGTCGGCTCCCCTCCCTGTGTTCAGTCACCGCGAACAGAAGCTAACCATACTGCAGGCTATGTACGATGCAGACTATGAAAAAGACAAGGTGACACTCATCCAGTCCGTCTTCCTCATGGGCCACTGGTACACCAGCACAGACGACAGAGCCGGGCCCTGGCACTGGAACGGCATCGCCATCAGTCTCTCTCACACGATCGGTCTTCACCGCCTGCACATGCCCGCGAACCAACAGGCGTCTCAGGGTACGAAGCCGTTCTGGAGACGTCTCTGGTGGTCTCTCTACTCGCGAGAGGTGTGGCTTTCTCTGGGACTCGGCAGGCCGATGCGGATAGCCCTTGATGACTTCGATACGTCCATGCCGGTTGCGAGCGACGCTGACGTCCTGGCGCCCGAGGTCAAGGGCCAACTTGGCCAGAAGTATCTTCCTGAAGAGATGAAGTTTCTGTTCGATACCTGGCTGGCTTTTATTGGCTTGAGTGTCACCCTGAGTAATGTTCTCGCGACGAATTATAGAGCCAAGGGGGTGAAGCCGTCAAGGATGGAGATTGAGCAAAGCGAAAATCAGATTCGAGGATTTCAGTATCGAGTGCCTGAAGCCGGAAGTCACAGTCGAGTCGTCGCATCTCATATCTACCAGTTCAAGCTATACTTTGAGTAAGTGCCCACCGAATCGATCCGCGAGATTGAACGAGGGCAAGCATCTAACACAAGCCAGAACATCCATCATCGTCCTCTATCGGCCTTTCATACTCGATACCCCAAGAGAGATCCCGGCAGCAGACCAAGGAAGTTGGAGGACGTTTGCATGCCAAAAGACGAGGACTGCTGCGTCCAACGCAAGCGCAGCGATGAACTCCATGATGGCAGAAGACCTGATCCGACTCTGCCATACCATCACGTACGAACCCCGACCTTCACAATGATATCCAAGTCCAAACTTCACTAACCGCTTTCCAGAGTCATTGCCCTCGTCCCGCCAATGCAAATTCACCTCTTCGAATCAACTTCGTCAAAGCAAATGGCGCGCCAGATGGGCAGACACAACCTCGCCCTCTGCATGGTCGCCATGGACGAGATGCGCAAGTCCTACATCTCGGCGGATGCATCATATAAGCTCTTCGAGACGGCAATCAACAAGGTAGATAACGCGCCGCCCCACGAGCAGCATCAGCCGTCTCCGGCTGCTGCTGCCTTGACGCCGGATACGACCGCGTTCGCGAGCTGGCCCGATGGATATGGGCTGGGCACCGCGGGCATCATATCAGATATGTGGAGTCCGCTGCCGAATGCATACGCTGACAATGCCTCTATATCGGGAACCCAGTGAGTCTTGTTTATCTAGGGTCGAAAACTCTACATGGTCTGATTCTTTCGCAGTACCGATTCTTGGCTGGATATCCAGACTATGGACAGGCTATGGACGCTCGACGATTTCAGTCTGCCATGATTCAGTCCTTCACCTCATTGCAAGAGAGACTCTAACAATGCCAACCGTGAACATGAGCCGAAGTTGGATCATACCCACGATGAATGACACGTACGAATAAAACATCAACTCAGCCTCTCGGGCCAAGAAGATCTTCGAGCCGTCCGAAACTTAGTTTCAAGCAGCTTCGTATGCCCTTGTTTAGCCCTCTCATCCCGCCGGCCAACGTCACCCAAGGCACTCGAAACGCACGACCGGCTTTCGGCCAGATTCAACGGACTTTTCTTATCGAAGGACCGATAAGCTCCCGGGCTGTGGGACTAGAAATGTTGAGGTGTCCGTAGGAAATCCGAGTCCCCGGGCAACGCGTCCGCTCCCCGAGCGGCGAGTCGCGATGAAATGTGCCCCACATCTTGCCGAGCCGAGGTACCTCGGCATTTGGGCCGCTTTGGTAGAAGCACATGCAAGAGTCATGACGGCTCTCAACAATCTCGAGTACGGACATGAGAGATAACGAATCTTGTGTGTTGGTATGGGCTCGACGTTCGGAAACCTGCCGAAATGAGCAACTAGAGAATGAAGCGATAGTACAATGATTACGGAGTAAATCGGCCTCTAATTAAATATCGAACTTGACTATGAGGGCAGGATTTAATGGTTAAGCGCGCATTTGGTGGTGGGTCGTTACTTGTCATAGCTCCCATCAGCTATTAGAAGGTATCTGGGCCAAAACACCTCTGCAAACACCATGTACTCGAGACTCTTCCACGGCGAGGTTAACTTTTGAAATCAGAATAGGTATTTAGACGGTATTACGAATGAGTCCCATTGTGATACAAACGACTTGAAAATTACAATCTCAAAATTTACCCTCATTGAAAGTTGAAACTAAGCCAGCGCGTCGAAGGCCTTCAAATCTTTGGCCTGAACGTTTCTGTCTTCCACCAAGGATAGAATGAGAAAGCACTCCTATCCAATCCCCCAGAAAACTCTGCCTTTCTCTTTTCCATGAAGCTTGTCAAACCTTCCACATTGTCTTTGGACCCAAAAGACGTGATAAAGACCTTCGAATCCAAGTCATGGGTCTCTTCCGGTGTATCAGGACAATACAGCATCATATCCCTCATCAACTTGGTACTCATGATGGAAGTATTCTCAGCAATATCGGTAGCAAGCTCGATGGCATATCTCACAGTTTCCTCGGGACTAGGAAGCAGCTTGGAAAATAGTCCGCTAACGAGGGGGTCGGAGGCCGTGTAAGTGCTTCCTGTTGTGACAATGTGGTTCGCCTTTGAGAGGCCGATGAGTTTGGGGAGGTAAAAGGCGCTGACGGACTCCATCGTCAATCCGCGTCGTGCAAAAGGCATGTTGATCTTGGCATCCTGCCAGGCAACTCGGATCGCAGCTGATAAGATGGACGTGGCCCCGAACCCTGCCGCGCCTCCATTCACGGCGACGATGGTTGGCTTCGAACATTCTGAAATGGCCAGAGCTACACGTCCACCCCTACGGTGATATTGTTAATTGGCATCTCGAGTCGAGGGTCCTGGACGCGACTCACGGATCTTTCCACTGATTCATCGCATCTGGGTTCTGTTTAATCTTCATTAGACCCCCTGGACCCTCTGAAAGATCCATTCCTGCACAGAAGGATTTGCCGGCGCCGGTCAGGACGACAGCTCTGACGCGGTCATCCCCGTCTATGATGTTGAACACGGAGACCAACTCTTCTAAGATGTTTCCGTTGACGGCATTGTGTCTCTCCGGGCGGTTCAGAGTCACGACTATGACCTTGCTGACGGCCGAAGCATCGTGGGGTACGTGGCTGACTACGATGTCTTTGTAGTTCAGTGACGAGTATAAGTTCGGGACCTGAGGGAGAGTTGCATGAGACATTGCGAGATGACCCGTCGTTACTGTTTCTGATTCAAATGGCTCAGAATTCAACGTGGCTATGTGTAGGGTCTGTTTACGATAGTTATCAACAATGACTTTATGTCTGGATACTCCAGCACCGTAGAAACATGGCGGTTGATATAACAAATACGGAAGGTTTGTGTGGCCAGCCTGATCTATTCAAACTCAGGCCGTAGCCCGAGAAGGCCTCGGCACATGCGGGCAATGAGAGTGTTGTCATCCCCCAAGGAAGATTTAGTAATTATCAACTGTGCTTCATCTGGGTAACTCCGCAGGCTCGCGAATGATTCTAAACTGTACTCATTCGCAATACGCCCTCAATTTGATGCAATCACTGCCGAAGGATAAATGTTACTCTACTAAGAATCTAGCTGAGCCATGTTGAACTTACAGAACGGGCTACTCCGTCTGATGCAAGTCAACCCTGAGCTCAAGGGCCCACATCCAGCCGAGGGCCGTTTGTCTCTCGACTCGAACGGGGCATCTTTCCTTCAGAAGAACTTTCTGTATAAAGCAAAATTCATCAATTTTCAGTGCGGCTCTGGCATCTGCTTTGGGCGATGACCCGTTCTTGCCGTTCCTTGAGGCTCCCAGGCGGGGTGCATGTACTTGGTCTCGCCGAGCACTCAGTCTAGTTGTCGATGGGTGAAGCTCTCAACAACTAGCTCGAGGATATCCCAACAAACGTGGGTCGTTTTCAAATCTTTGATAACAGTGAAGAGATGAGAATGCCCAAGATGGAGCTTCACTACAAAGTTATTTAATCGAGTCCAACGCTGAAAGGAGCAGACGAACAACCTCGCGGTGAATCGAAATCAGCAAAACTCCGAACCCATATAAACAACGGAGTCTCTTGAAGCAAGAATCTGTCAAAGGGCATAAATCTCTAATCGCTGCGATTGTAGACTATGGCGGATCTTTGGACCTATTTGGTCTCTTGCGGACAGATGGCCTTGTCGCTTCTAAACGTCAGATCATTCTTGATAGGACTCGCCCTCGCCAACATCAAGAACTGGTACTTTGTCTGGACCGTAAGTGGGAATAACGGACACCTCTGACCAAGCTGCAACCAAGAGTTCTCGTAGCTAAGTCACACCTCGCAGATCCGATTCCTACGCGCCTTCATCCGACGTCTAACAGACTCCGCGCCGCCGAAGCACCTAAGCCCACGATGCCTCTTTCTCCCAGCTATCTCCGCGACGCGATCGCCGCTATTGGAGTGTGACTACAACATGCACAAGTCCAACTCGACCTACTTCACAGACCTCGATATGTCACGCGGCAACATCAGTCTGGTGCTCTTCCGGGAACCTTTCAACCCGTTCCCGGGACCCAAGCACTTCATCATGATCCTCGGCGGCGCACAGTGCGTCTGGCGTAAGGAGATTGCGCCCTACGAAAAGTACGAGCTATGGACGCGGGTGCTATCATGGGATGAGAAGTGGATATATCTCGTGTCACACTTTGTCAAAGCAGATGTGTTCGTGCCGGAAGAGTACGCGATGCAACCAGGCCCGAGGGAAAAGAAGAACAAACACGGAGGAATTGAGACTCAAGATCCTCAAAAGGCTGTCTTTGCATCGTCAATCGCTAGATACGTCTTCAAGAACGGTCGAAGAACGGTGCCTCCGGAGCAGGCTTTGTCTAGATGTGGCTTGCTGCCGGCCGACGAAGCCGAGTCGCCCGAAGTGGAACGGCTTAGATTGAAATGGCTGCCCGTAGCGCAGCTCAAATCCGGCTGGGATTCGGTGCATGGTCTCTTCGAACCTGGCGAGCTCGCTCTCGGCAGATACACCGACCTCTGGTGGCGATGAGGCAGATTTTCTCAGCTTCGCACTCAATTTGATAGCTTTAGACTTCGAGAAAGCCTTAGTTGCATTTGGAGCGGGAAAATGATTCCCTGCAAAAGGTCGCTGTAGCGTTGCAATTGTAAACTCTCACGGAGACACCCATAGTTTGGGTTGTGGCTAAATGTCGATCGAGGAGGTTAATTCATGCAGAGTTTGCCCTATTAACGAACCACCCTATGGATCATGCATAATCCCTCAAAAGTGCCGGAAAGCCTCAGCCCATATGGCGCAAATCACATTTTGAGACAGATTGTCACCAGCACTTGAAATACAAAAACCTCGATTGGCCCAATCGTGATTCAACCAATTTGCCAGGGAACAAGACATCCAAAACTTCGTCCTAGTCCCGCAGGAGTTGGGAGCTTGGGTTTAAAGCCCGGCGGTGAATTTGTGCTTACATCCCACTTCCTAGCTTGCATGGAACTAGCTCTGTGTACGTGTCAGCGCACCGGATCCTTTCCTGATCTGCGCCGCTGCAGTCCTAAACTCTCGGGCTCCAAGTTCGTACACTGACGCGCCAAGAAGGCGTCTCCCTGCGTCATGGTGTCTCTGTTCCCCGCAAACGGGCAAGCGAGAACGAACGTACGAGAGGAAATTCCAGGTTGAGCGGGGTTATGTTGGCAGGTTGTGGAATGAGTTGACGATGAGTCGCTGACAGACGAGCACCATCTCTCGTGTATCCGCACGACGGGCGGCCGCTCTTCACGGAGGCCTTACTGGACTCCGAGAAGACTCCATCATCGACGGCGAACGGCGACATGGCGGCCGAACGAGACCGTTGATTGCCTCGATCCGGGACGGGAGAGCAAAGGGAATCGGTTTGGCCGACGGAGCGGGATGGGGCAACTCGACGGCCGGCAGATGGGCTGTGGGAATTCGCCGTAATGACGGCGGCAGCTATCCATCACTGCGCCGTAGATGCACCTAGGCGACGGATCTCGGGACTAACGCCCCCTGGCGGCCTTAGTTTTGGGATCCAACGGGTTGGGAGGCCTAGGTGGCGCCGTTGTAGCACGCGGGTGGGTGCCGGTGGGCGGGCATGCTGGTTTCTGGTCAGATTCGCACTGGGAATGGTCTCATGAGTCGGCCTCGTCGGCACTGGTTCTAGGAGATTCGTCTAATCAAGTAAACAGAGTGCTTTCAGCGTTATGAGACGGCCGAGTATTTTGGACCAAGATCGCAGGACGAGGATACCAAATCCGACTCGTTGCATGGGGGCGGACGGGAGTGAAAAGAACCCCTGGCTTCACCGCCCACCAACAAATGCAACACTCCAAGAGTCCCAAGAGGCCCCCCCGACTCGTTGGCAAAGTGTCACTGCTTACTTTGCTGGCATTCCATAGGGCAGAGAACGCTTAAAGCAGGTCGGCGCGGAATTGGACTGGCGCCGAATGCCATGTTTCACTAGAGACGGGGACGGACGGGATGGCCGAGCTGGGCTACGAAGCTGGCTCGAATCCGCACGATTGCGTTCATCTCGACCATTGAGATGACCGGGATTGGCCCACCTGTCGCTTCGACTCGCCGTGAGGAAAAAAAGTGGGAAAACGGGAAATCTTTTTTCGGCCATGATATCAGCGTTCATCCTCGTGCTCCACGCATGATGATGGGACCGAGGCATAACGCCTGACAAGCTCAAGAGATTAGCCACATAATACATGGAATTGGGGCGGGTTCAAGCGGTTTTCGAATTTGAATATTATCAGGCCGATATCCCCTCCTGTTGCTGGGCTTTGTCTCACCACATAGAAGTGCATTCAAATCTCTCAGTTAAGCTGACTGATCAACAACGCTCGAGAGGACCAAGATCACACCCTCGACACACACGCAACACACGTATACGAACACACACTCTCGCATCACACACTCTCACATCACACATACGCTCATACACATACACAACATGTCGGAAACAGTACCGATCCCAGAGCCCGGTGGGCTGCCGTTTCTCGGCAACCTCAACGAGATCGACTCTGAATTTCCCTTGGGATCCATGATGTCTC